TTCATTTACATATACATATATTATTCTCTTTAAGATTTACAAGCAATGAACAATCAAGGTGTTTATAGTCCACTTAGTGGATCTCAAGCGACAGTGAGCGTCAATTCACCTATGTCTACTACATTGTCACCATTACAGGGCAATGAATTTTTAACATTAAATGATACGACAGGTACAAAATTTTTTATGATATATGATTTCCTTTTTTTTGCATAAAGGTACTGAAAAATATATCATTACTTTGTTTAAGTGATTGGAGAGCCATCTATAACAATCTTGGTACAACCTATAGAAAAATTTAGATTTCGATACAAATCAGAAATGGTGGGAACACATGGAAGTTTAGCGGGATCAAATAGTGCTATTAATCGTCACAAGAATGCACCAACAGTACAAGTATATATCTGTCATTCTATTCTTATAATGTTTATCTGATATTGATAAAAAAGATCAGACATTCTGAGTTTTTAAATTACTTAAATAATAAATAAATAACACTAATACTTCATTTAGTTAAATAATTTCCTGGAGTCTGCAATAATACGGTGTACACTTGTTACATCTGATGAAGGCAGTCACAGAATTCCTCATGCTCATAGATTAATTCGTAGAGATGGTGGTCATGATTATGATGATCCACATCATATCACAGTATCTTCTGAAGTTGGATATACTGCAATGTACGTTATATTATATATTATATATTACATGTGTTACATACTATATTTTTTGTAAATTTTATATTATATATTAAAATCTGATATGTTATTACTATTTCGTATTATACATCACTAGTATTATATGATATCTAGATTCCATGGAATGGCAATTATACACACAGGAAAAAGGCATATTAGAGATGAACTTATAAAAAAGATGCAAGCCGAAGCTTTAGAGAAAAAGAAACTTGAAAATATGAAGGCAATTCTTACTACTAGAGAGGAAGCACAAGTATATTATTTTAATACCTTATCATTTATATTAACTATATTAATATATATGTATACTATATAGTATACTCTCCCATATTTTTTCTAAGCTTTTAATTAAGTGTACATTTTACTTTAAAGATTAAAGTTGATGCTGAAAATTATCAAAAATGTATGAATTTGAATAGTGTTGCACTGTGCTTTCAAGCATTCATCTTAGATGATCATGGAATTATGAGGCCAATAACAGAACCTGTATATTCACATGCTATTAATAATCTTAGTAAGTGAAAAATAATAGAATATTTAAAAATACATCTTATAGAAGCAAAATAATTGAAAAAATATCTACTATTTGATAGAGAGTGCATTAACTGGAGAACTTAAAATATGCAGAATTGATAAACACACTAGTAGTGTTGAGGGAGCAGAAGAAGTATTCATACTGGTAGAAAAAGTAGGAAAAAGTAATTATTAAATTAGTTTATTGATTTACAAAATATAAAAAGCAGTGACATAATTTTATACAAATACTTTTAATACAATATTTTTTGTTGTAGAAAATATTAAAATAAAATTTTTTGAATTAAATGAGGATGATTGTGAAATTTGGAGTGCATATGGACGTTTTTCAGAATTGGATGTACATCATCAATATGCTATTGTATTTCGGTAAGTTGTGTATTAGGAATAGGCTACCTCAACTTTTGACATACAAATAAAATATATAATAGCTTATATATATATATATTTTTGTAGAACACCACCATATAAAGATCAAAATATCACTACGACAAAAGAAGTTTTCATACAGTTAGAACGGCCGTCTGATGGAGGTTGTTCTGAACCAAAAAAATTTTATTACAAACCAAGTGATAGAATTATAGGTAATAAATAAATTATTAAGGTTGTATGTGCAGAACTAGGTTCGTGTTGAGTCAAGATCCTGAAAGTTGGAAATCACATAATTATGTCAGACACCTAAAGATATCTTTGGGTTAAATTCAGGTTGGGAGGTAATCAAGTCGGATAGCAAGTACTTGAACATACATATGTGGTTACAAACTTACAAGATTTTGACATAAGCCGACACAACTCTAATCGCACATTCAAAATGACAGTAATAAATGTTTAGGTAGGAAACGTCAACGAATATCTCATTCTGGAAGTTCGGAATTTTCACATATACTATCAAGTCCCAATTGTATTGGAAATGAAAATACATCAGAACTCTTAAGTAATAGCAGTCGAGAATTATCTAAAGAAATAATAAAATTATTATCTGGAGGTCCTCCAACACCAGTGTGCAAAGATTTTCTGAAAGATATGGATGTTGACAGTAAGTAAGCAATCTCTTTTTCTTTCTTAAGATAGAATTTATTGAAAAATTTTAATTGCATCATTTTGTAGATTATTTAAAATTTCTCGTTAATGATGAAGAGAATATGTTAACCACTGATGGCGTATCAACTGTACAAGTATATATTTCTTCTATTTTCAATTTATATTAAGTCATCTATAAGATATTTTTGAATTAATAAATAATGTGAATATTCTTTTATTAGTGCCAGGATGATGTAATGTTCGCTAAAAATATACTTATTGAAATTATGCATTGTATGAAAATGGATGTAAAAAATGTAAAAGAACATGTCCAAAAGCTACTCAGAGACCGATCAACATATGGGGATTCGCCGTTACACGCAGCACTTCGATACGGACAACGTGATGTTATCAAATACCTGTTAATGTTATTATGTACTAATAAGGATTGTAAAACGCTGGTTAATAGCCAAAATAGTTCTGGAAAAGTAAATATACTTTTTAAAATATTTATAAAATATTTACATTAATTTTAAATTGATTTTAACATTGCAAATTAGGATATTTATAAATGTACTGAATATAGTTTAATAGATATAATATCTTATTTTTAGACCCCATTGCATTATGCTGTTTTGCAAAACCAACCTGAAACTGCAAAAGCATTACTTATGCTTGGAGCTGATCCAAATCGAACAGATGAGCATGGATTCTCTCCACTACATGCAGCAGTAAAAAGTATGTTAAATTATTAAGAAGTAAAACTGACATACAATTACATATAATAAATATATGTAAACTAAATTAATTCTTATTTCCTTATATCATAATTTTTTGTCTCGTATTTCATAATTGCTATAATTTATTTATGACAGATAAAAATAGAATCTAGTGCTTAAAAAGTTCCAAAAAAAAAGAGATTTTTAAAAAATGTTAAAATACCTACAATTAATAGTCATCGTAATGCACCTATATATTTTAGTCCCCGATGCTGGGTTGTGTGTTGATGTATTACTAGTCGAAAAAGGAATAGACATTGAAGCACACAATGATGCTGGATGGACGCCATTACATCTTGCAGCTGAAGCAGGATCATACGATGCAGTATGTTCACTTATTCGTGCCGGAGCAAATGTAAATAATACTGATATGTCTTACGGTCGAACAGCATTACATATAGCTGTTGAAGGTGGACATAAAAATGTAGTTGAATATTTACTCAAAAAGGCATGTTACTTATTATTTTAATATAAATACACAATTATTAATAATGATTATAATATATTTTTGATTTAAATATTTTTACTATTATAGACAAATATACTTGTGAATAAAAGAAACTTTAGTGGAAATACTGCTTTGCATACTGCAGTTGTACATACAGGAACACGAGCAAAAGAACTGTGTGCATTACTAATACAACATGGTGCAGATCCGCATATTCAAAATCATAATCGGAAGTCAGATGATGTACATTATTTTTTTCTGTAAAAAATATTTTATTCTAATTTCGGATGCTTCAGATGATATATAATATTCTTTATTTGATTTCTTCAATAGGTGGACGAAAAAAACGAATCACATATTAATGTGAAAGTCGAAGTAGATTCAGAAGACGAAAATATAGAAGGAACTATTGGGCAGTCATCATTTGATTTAGCTATGAATAAACCAGACGTAATTATTATTTTATATATACATGTGAAAATATTGATTTAAAAATTTATTATCATGCGCAGTTATAGTAAGATTTTTAATAAAGAATACATTTTTTATAAAGATTTTACAGCTTTTTAATGATCAACCTGGGGAAACCACAAGTGAAATGTGCTCAGTTGCTACAAAGTTAGAATTAAAAAATGAAAATTTACAAACAAGTTGGTTAAATGATGAACATAAAAAAGAATTATCTACCCTTTTAGACAAAACACAAGGATGGCAAAAACTTGCTAAACATTTAGGTGTTGAATACTTATTACAACCATTTCAATATGGTTCAACAAGTCCATCATTGATTCTTTTAAATTACATTGACGTAAGTTATATATTTTATTATTATGAGACTACTAAAATCTTGGATAATAAGAAATATACAAAACTTTTAGGTAGAAGCATCCTTATCTCTCACAGATATACAAACAGTGTTAAGAGAAATTGAAGAGGAAGAAGCAGCAGATTACATAAATGGAATTTCATCTACATGTTCATAAAATATCCATTTGTTCCAAAAAATATTTACATAATGAAATGTACATATACTAATTGTACATCACTATTATGTACTTTTTAATTTTATAACAGTTACATTTATTAAAATGTAATAAAAATATTTACTATACATATATAAACATATATATGTATATGTATATATATATATATATATATATATAAACGAATGTTAAGTATTTGAAGATTTAATTATATTTTACACTAACGGTTTAGATATATAAAAATACTATGTATATCGAACTTTTTTGTATTAAAATAATTTATTATACAAGTCTACTAAATGTAATTCGTGATTTACTTTATTCACAATACATTTATTTATCACAATACAGATAATATTGATACATAGTCCAACCAAACTTATGTGTCATGTACTTCTTATCATCCCAACCTATAAATAAAATAATTAATTGTTTATATAGTTTAAAAATTTCGATTTTATAGGTCTTGAAAAATTTATTATGTTGCATCACTGAATGCCTTTTAAAGACATCCTGTATATCTACGTATTTACATTCAAGATAGAAGGAGCATCTTTATGATAAATAAAGCATGTATTCAATTGTGGTGCTTACAGGGAACAGCTGTTGCGCATAGTATACTATTCATTCCCGCGTGAAAAATTTTATAAGATTTTGTATTAGATTATCGTTTTTTCAATTTTAATAATATTTATATTATAATAATCATAGTTGAATGTTGAAATGAATCATATTTACGAAAGACAGATCGTTTTTAATTTTATGAAAGGATAGTATATTGATTTAAAAATATTAAAGTAAAAGTGTTATTTTTTAAAAATAATAATTAATTTGAAACAGAAGATGGATAAGTTAAGGAGAGCTTTAAGTGGTAATGATCAATGCGATGAAGAAAGTGGTATTATTACTCAGGTAATTAATGCCATATTAAAGTTATACAATTATTAATAATATTAGTTTTTTGGTATACATATAATTTTATTTTATTCATATGGAATTATTGTTATGAATGCATACAATTTTTAATGGAATACAGATGTGGATTTTTTGGTAAGCTCGTAGAGTAAAACAGGATGCAAAGTTGTGGATATTTTTCAACATAACTGTATATATCAACATTAGTTAGAAGAAGTTTTAAATTTAAGATAAATTGTATAAATTTTTATTTTTAGGTTATGGATCAATCTACGTTAAGTTGGTCTACTCGAATAAAAGGTTTTGCTATTTGCTTTATTGTTGGTATCCTCTGCTCCTTCCTTGGATCCTTTGCCTTATTTTTACACAAAGGACTCACAGTATTTGCTGTATTTTATACATTAGGCAATATCATCTCATTAGCAAGGTAGAATAATATATTAAAATCAAATATCATTAAACTTTTATCTAAGTATTTACATAATACATTTTCTTTATAATCTGCTTCTTTACTTCAGGGGCCTCAACAATAAATAATTCAGTGAATTCGTTAATATAGTATAACAAGAGTTACAAAAATTATATTAGCATAGATTCAGTGTAATCATTTTCCTAATAATTCTTTATTTTATTGTAATTACACATAATATTTGTTTTCAATGAAATTTATAGTTGAGGATAATCATATAATTCTGACTAAAGAAAAATATTTTTTATTTTATTCATAGCACATGCTTTTTGATGGGTCCATTCAATCAGTTTAAGAAGATGTTTGCACCAACAAGAGTCGTGGCAACTGTTTTAGTATTTATCGCAATTGTAATGACATTATTTGCAGCTTTGCATGTAAGTATAATATAATACAGTTTGTTATACATGAATATTATTTCCCATATAAAATAACATTTAACTCAATTAATATGCACATTTTTAGCTGAAAAATCCTGGATTGGCTCTTATGTTTATAATTATTCAATCATTGGCAATGACTTGGTATTCCTTATCTTATATCCCCTATGCACGTGATGCTGTCAGAAAAACTCTGGAATCATGTATCACATGAAAAAGCTTGCAAAACGTACAATAATATCTCTAACTTAACAAAAATGTTCAAACTTATATACTGTTATTTTATATTATATAAATTATAAACTGAAATAAAAAATTAACTTAAGGCACAATGTAGTATTAATCAAATAGAAATTTTTACAATTAAAATATACGTATACCTCATGTGATAAGATGTTTTTGCATATATATTTAATATTGTAATATTTTATAATATTGTAAATAAAGGAAAGTAAAGGAATCTATTAAGTTTATGTAAGATATGTAATATTATAATGTTATTTCTTTTGTAATGTTTATTACGTCTTATATTTATTAATCTTTGTACAGTGTATTAATAACTTTTTATATTAAATGGAAATCAAATTATTTATTGCTCGTAATATGAATTTCTTTATCTTTTTATCTATCTATCATCTTCTACTTACAAATATGTATGTCTGTAAATGTATATTTTGTATAACACTGAGTTAATCTTGCTTTAACTGTTACTATAATTAAACTAAAATTGTATTAATAATGTAATTATAAAAAATTCGCTTTCTAATTTTAATAATAAACTAGAAGGCATTGAAAAAACATAAATTTAAAATATTGCTAAAATTTTCCGTTACGATTAATTTTTCAAGTACGATTTACATCTTCATTATTTAAAAGTATCATGAAGATTAGTAAAAGATTATAAAAGTTAAATGGATTATTTTATTTTAATAATACAGATTATATGAAATTCATGAAGGTAAATGGTATTTTGATTAGTTTGTTTTCATTTAAAAATTAAACGTTGAATATTGAACAACCAATCACATCTCATCATAATTGCAACCACCAATCATGATTCAATACGATATTTCGTCATACACGGATGGAAGTCCTAGTTGGTTGAAGGTATAAACAATAATTTCTTTTACGTCCTTCGATTAACAGCAACAGGTTCTAAGTACAAAGAAAATTCTTTAGCAGCCATTGTACCTTTAATGCGCGGGTCGCGATCGGTTCATGAAGTGTTCGATGATCCATCCTTTATTCTGCATATCTTAATATTTATTGACATACTTTCAGTAAGTGAAATTTTTCAACTTTAACATATACTTAAAATTACACTATAGATAGATGTCATATAACGTAGAAAAGAACTGAAAAAAAGACAGTAAATAACCGTTAGGAAACGTAGATTTAAAATATTTAGCGTAATATTTTAACGCGATTTGCAATATAATACAGTGTTCGCATTTATACTAGGCTATCTGACAGGATATCATAATCATTACATGCAATTACGCCGAAGTCATTACGTATATAATTAGTAGGTGGGAAAGAACAAACTTCATATTCTTTTAATTATATATTGTAGAATTTTATTAAAAGTTACATCCTATTTTTTAATTGCATACATTAGTGATTCATACTACTTATATTTTTACAGAAGAAAATTTAGATCTAATTTGCTTAAGATACGAAAATGCCTGCGCCAGAAGCTGATTGCCATAGTCGTAAAGCTAATTTTAAATTCAATTACAAACATGAAGTAAGTTAATCAATTATATATTTATAAAACATGTAATTTTTAAAAATATATAAAATATTATGTTACATTAACAAATATATTCCATATATGTAAAAATGAACTTTTGAATTATTATTTTATGCAATATTGTACAAATTACTATTATAGGAAGCACGTAGAAGAAGAAATGAAATATCAGTGGAATTACGTAAAGCTAGGAAAGATGAACAGTTATTAAAACGACGAAATTTAAATATAGGCAAAGAATCGCAAAGCTCTGTGAGTGAAAGTGATCACTCACTTCTTTCATCTATAGATGAAATTGTTACTGGCATGAAATCTTTGGATGAAACAATTCGACTTCAAGCAACGCAGACATGTAGAAAAATGTTAAGCCGGGAAAAGAGTCCACCTATAGATAATATGATACAGCGTGGAATTGTTCCACTATGTGTTGAATTTTTGGATTATCATCACAAGTATATATATATATATATACACACATATATATATAATAATTTTGTTTTAATCTTATTCAGTGTATGTATAAAATATTATTTATATTAAATATTTGTAGCACTGCATTGCAATTTGAAGCAGCATGGGCTTTAACGAATGTAGCATCTGGTACATCAGAACAAACTCTTGTTGTTGTTAAACATGGTGCTATACCAAAATTGGTTGCATTACTTAAATCTGGATCACCTAATGTTGCTGAACAAGCAGTATGGGCACTTGGAAACATTGCTGGAGATGGAGCAATGGCTCGAGATCTTGTTCTTGGAACTGATGCTATGCCACTTTTATTAGAGTTAATTAAGCCTGACACTTCTGTATGTACAATATACATATTTATTTTAATGAAGGTATAATAGTATTATTAAGTTTATTATCATTACAGATAACATTTACACGTAACATTGTTTGGACATTATCAAATTTGTGTCGTAATAAAAATCCTCCACCTCCATTTGATGTTGTGAGAACCGCTCTTCCAGTGCTAAATCGTTTACTTAGCAATAGTGACAAAGACATACTTGGTAAATTGATTATTTTTATTTAACATTTGCTGCATTTTTAATTATAAATATAAATCTAAATCTTGTAACTATAAACAAGTTTTTCATTATAGCTGATGCTTGCTGGGCTCTTTCATATCTTACTGATGGTCCTAACGATAAAATACAAGCAGTCGTTGATTGTGGGGTTATTCCAAAACTTGTACAATTACTCGGTTCAACTGAAGTGACAGTCTTAACACCAGCACTTCGGTCTGTTGGTAATATAGTTACAGGCAATGATGCGCAAACAGATGCAATAATACAAGCAGGTGGTTTACAATATTTGGGTTTATTGCTACAACATCATCGCCTCAATATTGTTAAAGAGGCAGCATGGACTATCAGTAATATTACTGCTGGAAACATGGAACAAATTCAAGAAGTTATAAATGCTGCATTGTTACCACCTTTGATACATGTTCTAGAGTGTGTAAGTAAATTATGTTTTTTAATTAATTATTAAGAGTATTATAATGTATTTAATTATAATTACATGTTTTATTTTTTAGGGAGATTTTAAATCTCAAAAGGAGGCAGCATGGGCAGTAACAAATTTGACATCAGGTGGATCAGTACAACAATTAGCCCAATTAGTACAGTTGGGAGTGCTTGGACCATTTTGCAATCTTTTGGAAGCTAAAGATTGGAAAACAATAATTGTTGTTCTTGACGGTTTAAGTAACATCTGCAGTGCAGCAGAAAAAATGGGAGAAGTTGATAGAGTAGCCATTATGATAGAAGAAGTTGGAGGTTTGGATAAATTAGAAGCTTTACAGCATCATGAAGTAGAACAAGTATATCAAAAAGCTACTGCAATGATAGATACTTTCTTCTCAGAACCTGTAAGAAAATTTATGAAAAATTTAGTACTTAATTACCAATAACTGTGCTTGTATATCATATAAAAAGATTTTTTTTATAGGAGGCACAGGAATCAACATTGGCAACACCTACAATAGCTGATGGTCAGTTGGAGTTTAAAACAACTGAAACTGCACAGAGCGGATTCAATTTTTAAAACCCCTTAATCAGTTTTACGTCATTTAATATACTAGTGTGTGTTTCAGTTCATTTTGTAAATAGATTTACATCCTTTTGTCGTTGAAAATGAACATTAAAAACGAAATTTTCTGTCTCTTTCATAATGCTTTATTGGACATCAATTTCCAATTAATGTTCCTCTCTATATATAACTTTCGAGTTATTTGTTTTTATTTTTCCTTTTAGTAGAGTTCACTATTTATCATTCCTGGTATTAATTTCAGAATATTCTGTAATGTATGAATTATGTATTTTGTGATATTCTAAAATCATTTTAATGTTTTGTGTCTTTTTTTCAAATTTACAATACACACGTGTTGAAACATTAATTTTTGTATTTAATCATTGTTTAAATTTTATGTATGGATTATTTTCATGTCTTTTTATTATATATGTAATTGTCGTGATTTATTAAATTATGTGTCTATAAAATATTATGAACTACATTACTTATATACATTACAATTTATATGTATTTTTTAATAAAATTTTGATACAAAAGTTAACATGTATTGATAGTGTAGTTCTAAATAATCTTATATAATACAGTCATAAGCGTTGAACAAGTAGTTTATATATTCAGTGTCATAGTTCTAAATATTCAATAATAATTACAAGCTGATATAAAATTAACTTAAGTCAGTACAATTTCTTGCTATAAATAAAGTCATGTATAATACATACTTAACCGTTTTAGGCTACAAAGACTAGATGAAATTATAATATGAATTTCTTACTTATCTGATTATAGGAGTATGTCATGTAAGCACACGATGTATTCATTTAAAACGTTTCTGGATTGGCAAGTTGTTTATATACGTGCATTATTTCATCATAAAAATTTTGTTCACATAATTGTTAAGTACTATTATAGAAATATTAATGTCATAAAATATTTATTTAACATGCTGCTACCTATAAAATTATTTTCTCCTAAACAAAACATTTTATTTCGTTTAAAGCTTGCATTAGCTGCACTGCATTTAATAAATACTTGTTTTTAAGTTTAATTACTATCGGCCAAGAATAAAGTCGCTTTGATCATTTACTAAAAAGTGATAAACAAATGCAGCTTTTTTTCGGTCAATTGTTGCTTGGACGATCTGAGTACGACTACTTTGATTTCTATCACATCTACTTCTTGGTGGATCTCTTAAAAAAATTGATCCAAATATTGTTGCTACAATATAAATGAATAACAAATAAGTTTATTAATTATAGTAATACATAGTATAGTGTAGAGTCTTACCGAGGGTTTTGGCATCCAATTCATTATCTTGAGTATGATTTAATAACTCTTGCAAAAAATAACAAATATAAACAAAAACTGTTCTCCTTATTTCTGGAAGTTGCATTACAATCTACGACAAAATATTTTAAATAATAAGGAACATAACATATAGTATTATCTTTTCTTAAATAATTACAGATTTACACACCTGTTTGCACTGTAAATAATTTGTTGCTGCAGATAAGCATACACTATGAAGATTATACGGGATTA